ACAGTTTTCCACAGTTTATCCTCTCCCGCAAACCACCTGTCGGATAGTTGTGGAAAACTATGTTCTTTACAAGTGGTAAAGCACTGAATCCAGGCCAAATGATATCTGAAGGCGTCCCCAGTTCCTGGAAGATCTTGTTGAGTTGATCCAATTCAGATTTTCCGGGAAACAGTGGCTGGAAGGTGACGAGTTCGGCAAATATACACCCAACACTCCACATGTCAATAGCTGCGGAGTATTCTGTAGACAGCAGAAGCAGTTCAGGCGCACGGTACCATCGTGTGACAACGCCCGGTGTATATTGCCCAGCAGGAGATTCATACTCCCTAGCCAACCCAAAATCTGCCACCTTAACAACACCATCTCCAGATAGAAGTACGTTGTTCGTCTTTAAGTCCCTATGCAACACTTGATGGTCATGGAGGTGTTGCACGGCACTCAAGAGCTGCGTCAACAGGCACTTTACATGTTCTGTTGAGAACATTTGTCCGTTGACACGCATCGTCTCCAAAAAATTTTTTAGATCATAGTCAACGTACTCCATGACTATGAATACTTCCTCGCCTAAGGGGTTGAACGCAATTCCCCCTCCTGCGACTATGTTGGGATGCTTCATCTTTAGTAAGATTCCCAGTTCTCGACGAGAGCGATGGAGAGTCCTTCCCTTTGATTGATTGGTTTAAGTTGTTTTAAAGCAACTTCTTCCCCAGTTTGTCTGTCCCTTGCTCTGTGCACAACCCCGAATGCTCCTTCATCAATTCTATTGAGGTATTGAAACTCGTCAACAGATCGACAAGGGTGAAAAAGAGGTTTAGTAACAGAAGACTCTTGCTTTACTTCTGTTTTCTTTTTCAAAATTTTCTGCTTGAGATGATTTTCTTCTCTTCTTATATTGCCGTTGCGTTTGTTTTTGGCAATCTTTTTCAAGCCACTATTCTCTTGACGGCGTGACTTGTGTGGCACGGAACTAGCGCCGTTTTGAAGTCCTTGTGATACTTCGGATTTCATGTTTAAAAATAAAATAAATCAGTTTGGCTTAACGAGACGTGTATACGATAACTGCAGTTTCAACTATTTGTATGTTACCCTAAAAGTTGCTCCTTTATATAGGCCCACTAATGATCACTACACTAATTACTGCATTGTAAAGAAAATTGAAAAGATATTTATAACCCTGACAAAGGGTTCAATACACAAGAATTGAGCTTAGCGCTTCCTTTTAAACCACACAATGCCTGTGTTACTAGACACCGCTCTTCCATGTCATAGATAAAGTTATACGTTTCTTTTACCTTTATTGAGTATTTTGGTATTGTGAAAAAGAAGTAATAAAAGAATAAAATTCAGTAATAATTAAGTAAGAATTAGCACATAGTTACGTGTTTTGAAGAAACTTGCTACATTTTGGCTCTGTATGTATGAATATAATATGTATAATGTGTAACGTGAAAAGTTATGTGGTGTGAAGAATGATGTGGTCATGACATGGTGCAATTTTGTGAGGTCAGCGAAGTGATTTGGTGTGATGATTTGCGTAGCTATTTCAGTGGATACGTTACTCATGAAAAGCCAAAAGAGTGTCCGTATATTCATAATAGAGAGATATATTATATACTATATTTTTTTTTACTGACATATAAGTTATGATTGTGTATGTATGTGTCTAGGTCGCTGATCACTCCTCAACAACTTAGTAAGAACTACATGTCTAAGAGTTTTAAAGACCACAGGTTAGCTTTAGACCTCTGGCAGTCACCTGTTGAATACTTGTATGAGGGTACCATGAGAGGACCTTGTCAACCATTACGTCCAAGTGTTTTGTTATAGTTCCCTTGTCAAGCATTGACAGTTAATGCTTCGTCTGTTTATGACTCCATATGCATGAAACCTCAAGTCAAGATTGTCATTAGGTTATGTCCGTGAACTACGTGCACACTAAAATATATGCAAATGGTCTTGGAGGTTTTTAATGTTAAAAGTTGGTTTTCAGCCATTTATCTATGTAGGCAATCCCTATATCTGCATCCATTTTTACGTTTTCCAAGAATTACCAGTTAACACAACCGCAGTAGCATTGCGAATGCAAAAAACCTTGCATTTTAAATTTTATATTTCACTAGTCATAAATGCTTAGCAAAAATTGGGTAGGGCCTATGAAACTACCCTGAGACACGCCACGTGTGAACTGACACTTACTATCTACCCTTACTACCATCGTACAGCATGCCAATCGCTATGTTAATTCAAACTCTTTAGATACCATCAGGGTGTGTGGTTCGAAACTAGTAGAGCTTTTCTCAATATATACACGTGAGTAACCCGCGATTTATAGTTAACCAACAGGGTTGTTAAAATTTATCCAATATATTGGTGATTTTTAAGAAATATATTCGATCAAGTGTTGATTTTTTTTAAATAGCACGTGTGTTTCTAATTTATTTAAAAGAAACACGTTTTTTATAAAGTCAGTAAGTATTAACGATAATGTAATTCATAGAAACAAATAGTGTGAAAAAAGTATTGGAAATGACTTATTGGAGATAACCCTATTGTGCTCTTCGGGTGTGAGAGAATTTTATTCTTTTGTTTTAAAAATTCGATTGTTTTTTCTTTCGTAAATTTTTTTGGACCAAAATAATTTTGTTGCTAAGTGTTATCTACTTATCTGCTACTGTTTATAGATATATTTCTTTTCATTTGTTTAGTACCTATTGTGATAGGAACCTAGTGTGCCAAAAAGTTAACACATTCGATGCGTCATTATTTTCAAAGAACTTTGAGTTGGTGCGTTGGAGGAATAAACGATCTCTTAACAAAACTTCCTGTTGGTAAGAAAGAGAGGAAGATGCATTTATTCGGCACCAGATATGAAAGCCGACGAGTAACAAAAAAAAATATAACATGAAAAAACAGTAAAAGTCAGACAAACAAATCTGAGCAAAATAATGATACATGGATTAGATAATTATCATTTTAAATTATTTGGGTTCTAGGCACAACGATCAGCCCAAATGTAGAAAAGATCGATAGTAAAATAATACCAAAATATAATAAAATTAAAAAGCGAGTTGTTAAATAGATAATTGTGTACATAATTAAAATTAGAAGTCACACATTAGGTAGACTTAAAATAAAACTACCACAAAACATAGCACTCCTTATTTCGCGCTGTCGAATAAAAATGATTATTTAATTAAAAAAATAAAATTTAAATAAAGTAAAAACTAAAACATGATAACGAGTGATGCCATACAATTCCGTAAAATTTAAATTTAATAATATTTAAAACAAAATCCTTAAAAGTAGTATAAAAATAATAAACATATAGACGGACTCAACGCCCAAAGGCATTCTCTATCAGTCAACCGCAGGTCAGTGGTTGAGAAGGTCCATTATTACTATAACAATTGTTAACTTAACTGGTCTTGGTAAATATCCACAATATTTAAAGGGCTGGAACGTTATGTCCGTATGATAATAAATGAAAATAAACATTAGTAGACAAGGCTTTGCTACAAAATAATTATCGTACATAAAATTATAAAAACAATTGACTTTTTAAATATAAAAGAATATCACTCTCAGGTACCTGAAGAGCATAATAGGGTTATATTTTGTGTATCTCTTTATGTGAGCCACATATTATATAGTTTTGGGTCTTTGTGTGGTGTTTATTTGAGTTCGTATGCTAGCTTACGCAGCAACGTTACAGGAGGTAATCTTAGTGTTTTATATTTTTTTAAAGCTTTTTTAGAACGTTTTAGAGTTCAAAATGCCTCAAACTCAGTGACACTCAAATAAAACCAATACTTCAGAGCTAGCCAAGTTTAATAAGTACTACCGTAACATAGCATCGTTTCCATCCCAACGTCATCTATCGTGAATTTATTTCGGTTATCGAATTGTATTCGATTGGGATCAGTTACACTCTCATTATTATTCCTACTTTGAACAAAGAAATAACTTTTAACTTATCTAGTTTTACAATGGTTATTATTTAATACCAAAGTTGAAAAATATTAAATACGTCGGTTAAAAATTGAATTGAACTAGACTTTTACGTTCTTAAATTAATAGTCATTTAGTCATACATTGAGGGTAGATGTCAGGCTGTGGTGCTGAATGGATACTCCTCGAGAGCTTTGTGTATTCCTTCAGAAGTTCCGCAAGGGTCATTGTTAGGTTCACTCCTTTTAACATCTTTATTAATGACGTTACCTCCTACCTTCGACATTCCAAAATATTGTTGTTTGCGGTCGACATGAAGATCATAAAACGGATTAATACATATGCTGATGCTTTGCTTCTACAGATTGACCTTTCAAACACACAGGTTACATGTTAACGTTTTTTAAAACTATGTTTGTTCATTCATCCGAAAACCGGATCCTCTATTATTTTCTAATATTCTCTTTGATACCTGACTAACCAAGGACAACAAAATTAAAGTTCTTGGAGTTTCCTTTGATCCAAAACTTCTTTTTATTAAAATAAAAAATTAAATAACCTTTAAATTGAATGTACCTTACATTTAATTTTACTTGCAGATATTTATTATTTAATAATACCTAGGTCTTTACCTATGAAATTGCCGTTCTGCAGTACTGTACTGGCCATTTCAAAACAAAATAGTTTTTGTTAGGCTAAGGCTTCTTAGATTTATGGAAGGGAAAATATGAACAAGATACTTTATTAACATTGTTTAGGATTTTTTATTTTGTCAAGTTGTATCATAATTTACAAAAGTTTTATTACATAACATTAAAAAAAATATTTACAATATAATTAATATTTACATATTCAACTACACTTAACATTATTTACATAAATAAAAATTAATTTTAAAATAGTTATTACTTACTAATTTAAACATTATTAATATTAAAAAACTTAACTACACAACTTAATACACTACACTATATACATGAATAAAAATCAATAAATTAATAATAAATATTTCATTTAAATAGCAAATACTAAATATTTTGAGCAAAACTTCATCAATCAACACTTTCGAGTTGGCACTGATGTGAACCAGAAGTGAGAGCCTCACCCGGCTCGGCGCAGCGAGCAGGCCACGTCAGGAACATGGAAGGCTCGATCGCTACCGGCTCCTCTTTAAAGTATTCATGCTCTAAAGCATCAGCTGCCGTCGTTCTACTTAACGGATTGTAAGTAAGCAACCCTTGCAGCAAACAAAAGCCACAATCCGAAAGTGTATCGCGGCCTATCTTCTTTCGCAAGCCTCCTGGCGCATAGCTGTTGAATATTAGGTGTTGTACTATCGGTAAAGAGTTGAAGCCGGGCCAAATCGCTTCTGAAGGCGTCCCCAATTCCTTAAATATCTTGTCCAACTGTTCTACCTCAGTTTTGCCGGGAAACAGTGGCTGCAAGGTTAACAGCTCGGCAAGTATACATCCAACACTCCACATGTCAACAGGAGTGGAGTACTCTCTGGACAGAAGTAGTATTTCAGGTGCGCGGTACCAGCGTGTTACTACGCCTGGCGTATATTGCCGAGGAGGGGATTCATACGCCCGAGCCATCCCAAAATCTGCCACCTTCAGGATACCATTTCGAGAAAGAAGAACATTGTTCGTCTTAATATCCCGATGCATCACTAAATGGTCATGGAGATGTTGCACGGCTCTTAGGAGTTGCGTAATCAGGCACTTCACGTGTTCTGTTGTAAACATTTGTCGGTTGACTTGCATCGTCTCCAAGAAACTCTTGAGGTCGTAGTCAACGTACTCCATTATAATAAATACTTCCTCGCCCAAGGAGTTGACCGCAATTCCCCATCCTGTGACTACGTTGACATGCTTCATATTAAGCAAGATTTCTAGTTCTCTCCGAGCGGCGATGGAGAGTCCTTCCCTCTGATTGATCTTTTTGAGTTGTTTTAAAGCAACTTCTTCCCCTGTAAGTCTGTCCCTTGCTCTGTGCACAACACCAAATGCTCCTTCATCAATTCTATTGAGGTAGTGGAACTCTTCAACAGATCGACAATCTTGGAATGCTGGGTGGGAAGGAGGACCAGCATCAGTTCTTTCTTCTTTATATTTTCTCACACTGTTCTGCTTGAGATTATTTAGGTTTCTTCTTAAATTGCCTTTACGTTGGTGTTTGGCAATCTTTTTCAAGACACTTTTCTCTTGACGGCGTGACTTGCGTGGCAAGGAACTAGCGCCGTTTTGAAGTGCTTGTGATACTTCAGATTTCATTTTAAAAAAATAAAATAAAACAGCTTGGCTTAACGAGTCGTGTATTCGATTACTGCAGTTTCAACTATTTGTATTTTATCCTAGAAGGTCCTCCTTTATATAGGCCCACTAATGATCACTACACTAATGACTGCATTGTAAAGAAAATTGAAAAGATATTTTTATAAAATATCTTTATAGACTTCTGTCTAACAAAGGGTTCAATTAACAAGAATTGAGCTTGGCGCTTCCTTTTAAACACACAATGCCTGTGTTAGGAGACACCGCCGAAAAAGTTATATGTTACTTTGCACCTTTATTAAACATTTGGGTATTGTGTAAAAGAAGTAAAAATTAGAATAAATAAGTTAGTAATTCAGTAAGAATTAGCACATTCGTGTTTTGAAGAAACTTGTTATACTTTGTGTTGTGTCTGTATTTATGGATATACGTATTATAATGTGTTATGTTAATAGTGATGTGGTGGGAAAAATGATTTGGTTAAGATATGGTGTGATGAGGTCAGTGGAGTGATTAGGTGTGGATTTGTATAGCTATGTAAGTGGTTACCTTACTCGTGAAAAGCCAGAAGAGTATATGTATCTTCACAAGAGAGAGAGACCTAATCCAGCTTACAACGTTTACCTGACCTGACCCTACTACTACTTTTTGTGCCACTAGTTAAACTTGGAAAGTTACAGCTTCGTCTGTTTCTGCATCCACATGCATGAACCCTCAAGTTGAGATACTCATTAGGCTACGTCCGTGAACTACGTGAAGAGAGGTTTTTAATTTAGATTATTAAGAGGAGGTTTTTAATGTTAGTTAGTAGTTAGTTTCCAGCCATTTGTCTATGCAGGCAATCCCTATATCTGCACTCATTTTAACGTTTGCCAAGAATTACCATTGCCATAAATTATTAAAGATAACAAAAGTCATAGAAACAATTAGTAAGAAAAAGTATTGGAAATGACTTATTAGAGATAATCCTTTTGTGCTCTTCGGGTGCGTCAGGATTTTATTCTTTTGTTTTAAAATTCGAATGTTTTCTGTATTGTTTATTTTTTGCACGAAAATAATGTTGTCGCAAAGCCGTTGTCTACTAATCTGCAACATTCTATAGAGACATTTCTTTTAATTTGTTTAGTACCTGATACGAGTATTGTGATACGAACTTAATGTGCCAATTAGTAAAAACGTTCGCTGCGTCATTATTTTCAAAGAACTTTCAGTTGGTGCGTTGGAGGAATAAAATATCTCTAAACAAAACTTCCCGTTGGTGAGACAGACAAGAAAATACATTTATTTGGCATCAGATATGAAAGCCGGTAAGTAACAAAAAATTATAACATAAAAAAACAATAAAAAGTCGGACTAACAAATATGAGCAAAATAATGATACATGGGTTCTAGGTTCAACGATCAGCCCAAATGAAAAGACAGATAGTAAAATAATACCAAAATATAATAAAAGTAAATAGCGAGTTGTTAAATAGATAATTGTATACATAATTAAAATTAGAAGTCACATATTAGGTAGACATAAAAAAAACTACCACAAAACATAGCACTCCTTATTTTGTGCTGTCGTATAAAAATGATTATTTAATTAAAAAAATATAATTTAAATAAAATAAAAACCAAAAGTTATAACGAGTGATACCATACCATTACGTTAAAATTAAATTCCGTTAAAATAATATTAAAAACTAAATTATATAAAAAGTATAAATCTAATAAACATAAAGACGGACTCAATGTCCAAAGGCATTCTCTATCAGGCAACCGCAGGTAAGTGGTTGAGTAGGTCCATTATTACTATAACAAATTGTTAACTAAACTGGTCTTCGTGAATATCCACTATATTTAGCTAACAGGTACGTTATGTCCATACAAAAGATGATTAACAAATGAAAAATATTTTTCTATAGATTGTAGCAGATTAGTAGATTACGCTTTGCGCCAAATAATTATGGTTCATAAAATTAAGTAAACAATTGAGATTTTTAAAGTAAAAGAATAACTCTCTCACGCACCTGAAGAGCACAATATGGTTGTATTTTTCGCACTAATGTTTTCTATGAATGTCGCCTGCTCGAAGCATCGCTTTGTGTGCGCCACATATTTATTATAATTCTGCATCTTTGTGTGGCGTTTATTTGAATTTGTATGTTAGTTAATGTTACAGGAGGTAATCCTAGTGTTTGACAATTATGTGTCAAAGACAAAGTAAAGATGAACACTTTAAAGTTGAAATTACCTCGAACCTAGGGATATCCAAATGAAATCAATAGTTAAAATATAGGTATATAATTTGCCGTGCAACGAAACTAAAGCGCGATGCGATTCCATCCCAACACTATCTATCGTGAATTTATTTTGTTAATCAATCGCAATTCGATTAGGATCGGTAACACCCCCATTATCAGTATTTACTACACTGAACAAACAATTTACTTTTAACGTAGCAAGTTTACAAATGGGTCGTAATTTTTCAAATAATGAAGATAAATCAATATTTAATCATAGTAATATAATATACCATACACGTCGGTTGAAAATTGTATTTTAATAGACTTTTGAATTCTAAGCTTTATCGAAAGGAAAATATCAACAAGATAATTAAAATTATTTACGACTTTTTATTTTGTTAAGTTTACAATCATTTACAAATGTTTTGTTACTAAATTTTAATGTTATGTAATATAGGTAATATTACATAACATTAAAATTTACAAACTTAACTACACTATACATTATTTAGGGCTGATGGTTAAATAAAAGTTATCTGAGGGATAATTATGATGTTGTCGCGTTAGAATGTTTGAATAGGACAGTGACAGCAACAATTTTATTCCTCAAATAACATTTATCTGACTATTGAAAACTCAGCTCTTAATCGAATTAAATGTATTTTAAAAGAGTTAGTTTATTAAATGTATTTTAGAAATTTATTCCATTACATACAACATATTAACAAAATAATAAAAAATATTTAAGACGTTTTTATTTTGTTAAGCTTTGTCATAATTTACAAAAGTTTATTACATACCTATATAACATAACATAAAAACATACAATTAATATTTACAATCTCAACTACGCTAAACATTATTTACACAAATTAATATGCATTTTAAAACAATTATTACTAATTTACTACATTACATTACACTAATACTATATTAACATTAACAAACTTAGCTACAATATATACATACACTATAATATCCAAAAACAAAATAGATTTTTAATAATTTTACCACATTTACTACAATATAATACATACTTAATTTTTACGCAAAACTTCATTAACTACCACTTAACAGTTGTCATTGATGTGAGCCAGTGCCGAGAGCCTCACCTAGATCGTCGCGGAGAGCAGGCCACGTCAGGAACTCGGCAGGTTCGATCGTTACCGGCTCCTCTTTGAAGAATCTATGTTCTGAAGCATCAGCTGCTGTTATTCTTTTAGCTGGATCATAAGCTAATAATCCTCGCAGCAAAGCTAAACCACTATTAGACAGTTTTCCACCGTTTATCCTCTCCCGCAAACCGCCTGTCGGATAGTTGTGGAAAACTATGTTCTTTACAAGTGGTAAAGCACTGAATCCAGGCCAAATGCTATCTGAAGGCGTCCCCAGTTCCTTGAAGATCTTGTTGAGTTGATCCAATTCAGATTTGCCAGGAAACAGTGGCTGCATGGTGACAAGTTCGGCAAATATACACCCAACACTCCACATGTCAATAGCAGCGGAGTATTCACAAGACAGCAGTAGCAGTTCAGGCGCACGATACCAGCGCGTGACTACGCCGGGTGTATATTGCCCAGCAGGAGATTCATACTCCCTAGCCAACCCAAAATCTGCCACCTTAACAACACCATCTCTAGATAGAAGTACGTTGTTCGTCTTTAAGTCCCTATGCAACACTTGATGGTCATGGAGGTGTCGCACGGCACTCAAGAGCTGCGTCAACAGGCACTTTACATGTTCAGTTGAGAACATTTGTCCGTTGACACGCATTGTCTCCAAAAAACTTTTTAGATCATAGTCAACGTACTCCATTACTATAAATACTTCCTGGCCCAAGGGATTGATCGCAATTCCCCCTCCTGCGACTATGTTGGGATGCTTCATCTTTAATAAGATATCCAGTTCTCGACGAGCGGCAACGGAGAAACCTTCCTTCTGATTTATCTTTTTCAGTTGTTTTAAAGCAACTTCTTCCCCAGTTTGTCTGTCCCTTGCTCTGTGCACAACCCCGAATGCTCCTTCATCAATTCTATTGACATATTGAAACTCGTCAACAGATCGACAAGGGTGAGAAGGGGGTTCAGTAACAGTAGTATCTTGCTTTACTTCTGTTTTCTTTTTCAAATTTTTCTGTTTGAGATTCTTTTCTTCTCTTCTTATATTGCCGTTGCGTATGTTTTTGGCAATCTTTTTCAAGCCACTATTCGCTTGACGGCGTGACTTGTGTGGCACGGAACTAGCACCGTTTTGAAGTTCTTGCGATACTTCGGATTTCATGTTTAAAAATAAAATAAATCAGCTTGGCTTAGCGAGACGTGTATACGATAACTGCAGTTTCAACTATTTGTATGTTACCCTAAAAGGTGCTCCTTTATATAGGCCTACTAATGATCACTATACTAATCACTGCATTGTAAAGAAAATTGAAAAGATATTTATAACCCTGACAAAGGGTTCACAAGAATTGAGCTTAGCGCTTCCTTTTAAACCACACAATGCCTGTGTTACTAGACACCGCTCTTCCATGTCATAGATAAAGTTATACGTTTCTTTTACCTTTATTGAGTATTTTGGTATTGTGAAAAAGAAGTAATAAAAGAATAAAATTAAGTAAGAATTAGCACATAGTTACGTGTTTTGAAGAAACTTGTTATATTTTGGCTCTGTATGTATGAATATAATATGTATAATGTGTTGTGTGAAAAGTGATGTGGTGTGAAGAATGATGTGGTCATGACATGGTGCAATTTTGTGAGGTCAGCGAAG